TGGAAGCCTGATGACCTTTACTTTCTACAGGCAAAAAATCCCAGTCATAGCCCAGAGCAGTGCTGCATGCCTGTAATCCCAACAGTTTAAAAAAATACGGCAGGAGGAACATGAGTGCAAAGCCATCCTCAGCAAAAGAGAGGTGCTAAACAACTTAGCCAGACCATCTCTAAATAATATTCAAAAATGGCTCTGATGTGGCTCAGCAGTTAAGTAACCTTGGTACCAAAAGACAAAAAATCCCAGTCACTTTACAGCTTATCCACTAAAGCAAAAGTAAATGGCTTTGAAAAATAATACACTTCGAAACTCTGACACTTTTATAAAAAACAAAAACCAAGAAATTTCAAACAAAATTTTTAGAAGTCCTTTAAAAACATATCAATAAATTTCTTAGTAACAAATTTAAAACATTTGAGACTCTTTGTGACTTTCCTGTGGGATACATATGCAGTAAGCTTTACTATTAAAAATTATCTATTTGGTAAAATACATAGGAAAAGTTCTATCAAAAAAATTGTTTTGAAATTACTTTTTTCAGAATGTCAAAAAGAATTAAGGTAAACACACATACTTAAAATGTTAATACAACAATATTAATTCAGTTGAATAAATAAAAGAAAATGGCACCAAATTTATGGCAATTTTTCAAGACTAAGATGTAACTCAAGAATATATTTTTTAAAAAATTTTTGTTTGTTTGTTTTAGTTGTAAATGGATACAATACCATTATTTTATTTATTTATTTTTATGTGGTACTGAAGATTGAACTCAGTGCCTTGCACATGCAAGACAGGCGCTCTACCACTGAGCCACAACACAGCCTAAGCTCAAGGATATTTTTTTAAAAATAATTTCCCTGAAAAAGATCATTCTAGGCACAAGACAACAGGATTAAAAATAAAGTACTATGAGAAAAAGCAGTTCTACAAACTTTACCTTATTCATAGATGAACAGAAATGTTATCTTGATATTTAGGCCTGACATATTCATCATGAGGAGAAATTTACCTTCACAAGAGGCCTGGCTTGGGGCTCTTTTTCATTTTTTCCCCACCCAAAACGTGCTTAAATATTTTCTTCAGGACTTTGTAAACTATTGGTCCATTCTCTGAATCAAAACTAACCTTAGTTAAAACCTCAATGATATGAACAAGGCAATCTTTCTCCACCTCCATGGGAATTTCTGCAGGTTAACTATGCAATGCAACACACAAAGGATAGTCTGGTGCTGTCCCTTCTCTAATAAGAACAGGGCTTCAGTGGCACCTGTGTGTCTATCAACCAACATGTCCACATCCTCTTTGGAGATTATAGGCTCCTTTAGTTGCTCCACCAAAGACCACATCAAATGACCCGGGATGAAAGGAACTCTCTCACCACATGTTCTTTCCCACACTCCACTTTGGAAATTTAGTTCTTTCTGACACATTTCTACCTTCCTTTTCACTTAATCCTTTTCTATAAACTCATTTATATTTGTCAGAGCTTTGGCTGCCAGTATCCTCCTTGCTTTAACAGTCAGTTCAGATGGCAAGTCAGCATGTTGCACTGCTTCAGACAGACCTTTGCTCTTCTGGGTTCTTGTCCAATCAAGAGCTGTGTCTTGAATGAAGAATGAAGACACCAGATGAAGCTTCTGCCTGGAAGGCTGCAGCAGGTCCTGCCTTCCCCTTCCACAGAGCCTGGGCCCCAACCACTGTGTGGTTCACAACGACAGAGGGCCACTTGCTGCTGAGAAGGGTTTAGATCCTTATGGAGATTTGCAAAGTTGGTGTAACTGGTTCCCCAGGATTGCATGAATGTGAAATACCCACAGAGAAGGTTCTACTTCATTGTACTTTTGAATGTCTCTCCCTCAAAGAAGTGGTGTTTCATCATCCTTGGATCTTTCCAAACCTCCACACTTAGAGTGACTCAGAAAGAAAATGTGTTGCCAACCAATGCCTCCTCTGGAAATCTAGTTCTGGAGATGGTGTGTCTCCACAATGTCTGATGGGCTTCTGCTGCTGGAGGTTGTAGCCCAGCACGTCCTGGGCAGGAATGGTGTCCCCTCTTGCTCCAGGAGAGTTTTGGTCCTCTATAACTCTGAGTCACTGTACCTGAATCGC